AGTCAACAAAATATGGTTATCGATTTTTCTGCTAATATTTCATATGTTTTTATTTATGATTCTTATGGAGCTACATTGCAACAAATCTTCTTTTTCTACTACATTGCTTCTATGATCTTAAGAGCACTGGGTGAAAAAACGCTGACAAAAAACTGAAAGAAAGGGGTTCATGTAACTACTGTGCCCGTCCCCTTCTTAGTTAACCGGGCACCCATCTTTGACATCTACTACAAAAGAGTGAATCAAGAAACATGCAACTTAAAGATATAATTTAGGACCCCGATCCTTCAATTACCACCCCTATGACTGAATACTACCACCTTTGGATTCACACATTTCCTTCCAAATCACTCCACCTTATTTCGCTACCAACTCCCCCACTAAGAGTCATTCACCTTCCAAACGGATCATCATCTAACCACGTTATCACATAACGACTTTTCGAAATCACCAATTCTGTCAACACCTGAGTCTTTCTCACTGAATCCATTCCTAATCTCAAATCCACCACCAACTATATTGACGAGCAACACTCTTACTTATTTTCCTCAACTCAATCCACACATGATTAAATATTAAATACTATCTTAGATAACTCAGACCACCCAAGAACCCCCAAAACATCAACCATAGTATATCACATGCAATCCTGGACAACAGAAGAACCACCCCAGCCTTTAAATATATCAATCTGGCCACTTATGAACAAACATGTAATAGTCTCATTATGAAAAACTAAATCAAGATCACTCATGGAATTCACACGCACATAATTGATGTATCAGATGTGGTAACCGAGTTAATAGCTAGTATGTATCAGTGGGGTACCTAAGTCAATCATATATAGATATTTTGTACCATAAGTGGTGCCTGAGCCAACCGTTAGTATGTATCAGACGTGGTACTCAAGCCAACTGAGAAATATCATATACCAAGTGTGGTATTCGAGACAACCAACAATCACACATCACAATCACAATGAATACAAATCACACTTATACATTAAGAAAGCACTATCATTGCATATGATTGATAACAATATAACATAACAGGAATCAAACAACCATTACCTACTCAAAAGGATTCTTTCCTGAACGTTCCATGCTCATACTTTGATTACCCACAATCACCTTCTCTAAAATAACACCTAACAATCATCACAAGATCAACATTAACTAATCAAGTCCATTATCAATCTAAACCACAACTAATCACATATTAAACTATTCAGACTTCGTGCCCGAAGGACTATGCATGAAATCTCCAGATAATCAACAAGATATTATGTAAGTAACGATAGGTATAACTACTCAGCCAAGCCTACTCAACTAAGACTATTCTATCTGAATGCTAAGTAACTGCTGAAGAATTCTAAACACGAGCTTTAGGTTTCATAGAGGCAAATTCCGACAGACGTAGACCAAAATTTCATGAGTCTTGGCCTTCTTTGCGCAAAATTACCTTCTCTCTGCTATCTCCAAGCTTAGGAGAATTTTAGGAGTAACCCCAGTCTATTTTATACTTCTAAAGGATGTAATTTTATGAGTACCCTACCCTCTGAGTAAATGTAATCTCTTGTTCGAAATCTCATCTCAGACTTGAGTCACCCATCAATATATAAGAAGGTATAATTATTTCTTACCTCTCTCACATAATATTATAGTGGTTAGTTCATCATGTCTCGGGATATAACCTAGAGTATAGCAATTATAAGTATATTACAACACAAATAATTCAATTCAAATATGTGTAATTTCTCATCTAAAAACCTCACCTCGGACTTGAGCCCCTCATCAACATGAAGGTTATAATTATCTTTTACCTATTTCACACATCATAATAATGATCAGTTTCACCAACACTCTAGATATAACTCAGACTACAACAATTATAGGTATACTTGCAATGCAAAGTAATTTAATTTGATTCATCATTCAATAGCTTATGCATTCTAAACATCAACAATCATAGGTATGTCCAAAGGCCAATCAACGAGTATTCAACTTAAGAGTATACATGAAATCAAATCAAGTCTAAGCCCCAATTATCAACTAAAGATCCAATCACCAACCTTTCATATTCATGATCCGCGATTTAACCATATAAAGGAACCCTCACAATCGGGCTAGTATTACTAGAGTTAATTCTCATGAATAGAATGCCACAACACTAAACTCACACCTTCATGAAAAGCCCTACATTAAATAATATCTCTCTTTTTAGCGTGATTAAACCGAATTGTTAATTATAAAGTCATGTAATTCTCTTTATCGTTAACCACTACAACATAATTCACATTACAAATTGACATAGAGGTAATACACACAATACACCCATCAAGGCTTCATAACATCAACGTACCCACCCATAACTCTCTTTATGTGAATTTCATGTCTATTATGCATTCATAATGTCTATGCCTGCAAGACTAATCATGATTCTTCAATCAAATATATGTTATGAACACATTTTCTAATCATAGTCTACTACTCATAAATCATAACCTATCTCGATGCTACTTCCGAACGCATGTATCCATGTGTCTTTTTTCAATTCTAGCGAGATTGATGACGAATTTACAAGTAAGAAATTGGAGATGTGTTCCTTGAGAGTGCCTTGCCTCTCCATTATCGTTGTTTTTATCTTAGGAATAACCCTAGGGAATTTTTAAGAGGAGACAACTATTTTAGAACGACAGCTGGGATAAAGGGTTTTAAAAGCCACAGGGGTTTGCCTGACATGACATCGGTATACTTAGACTTAGAGAGTGGTCCTCTTTCTCGAGTAAAAGCAATCAAAACTCAAACACATCTCATTTTAATGAGTTGAATGATTAAGGTTACATTAATAGAAAATGAAGAATTTGGTCCTACAGAATTCAATTAAATTAGTTTTTATCGATTACCATTATTAAGACTAAATTATAAAACAATCTTACCCTTAGAAATTTATATTGACACGTGTTGATCATCCAAGTAACCATTGATAATTACTGGAGCAGAGCCGTTTTCAACAAGCTACATAATATTCTAATTTCTAAATTCTTAGTTACAATATTAAGTCAAGTGGGTTAAGTAACTTGAAGTTAATTCAGTTGTGAAAAATTTGTATTTGTTTTTGTGAGATTTTGAAAAACAAAAACTGATTTGACTAATTAAGGATACTACATGTATAAAATAATTTTCAAGTTTTAATCTTAAATTGATTAAAACTCTTTATCTCCCATATGTTTCATCGAATCATATACGGGATAAAATATTAGACACAATTTATTTTGATAGTACATAACTTCTTCACAAGCTAAAATTCTAATAACCAAACGTAATTATAACAATTCTAAAATAGTGAAATTCTTTATCGGATAAGTTTTGACACTCATGTAAGGTAACATTTGGGATCATAACGATAAGACTTCCATAATTTTGTGAGCATAGATGACTGACTATTTGTAAGCATATACTTAAGGTTTCCAATGTATCCATATATAGTTCCACGCAGTGTCGGTTCTACAAGGTTTTATTTATATAAAAAAAAAAAACAATTTCAGTGGTCTAATTTTTTTAGCAATAATAATTTATAATTTTTTTAAAATATTAATTACTACTTGAAAAAGGTGAACTTTTAATATTAGGCACTTTATAGCTATAGTTTACTTAATTACGAATAAGAGCAAGATGTTAGGGGAGGAAGCAGGAGAGAGGCGAGCGAGATCTGAGAAAGAGGAGAGAGTGTATTTTTTCGCGAGTTTTGGAGAAAAAAAATATAAATATAAACTGATTTGTATCAAAATGAATACATATTAAGAGGAGAGAGGCGAGAGAGGAAGGAGAGAGGTGAGCAAGATCGAGAGAGAGATGAGAATGGATTGTATTTTGTATTTAATATTGCATTGTATTCTGTATTTAATTTACATTATATTCTGTATTTATTTTTTTATCAATTAATTCAGAATACAACAAATTGTATTCTTTATTTATTTTATATCAATTGTATTCCTCCTTTCTTTGATTGAATACAAATACATTTGATAGAGAGGATGAATGAATATTGTATTCGTACGAATACAAATACAATTGATACAAAAATACAAAATACAATTGAAATAAAAATACAAAACTTTCACCTATATTTGATTGAATACAATTGATACATAATACGTTTGAGTTGAATTTCTGCTCATTGGTGTAAGAGAGAAAAAACAGAGAAAGAGAGAGGAGAGAAGAAAATGTTTGCTTATGTTATTTTTTATAATATATTTAAACTATAACTATTTTTGATAAATAACGTGCTAATTTTGATTTTCATGATAAATTAAATAAATTATCAGTTGGAAGACAATTGTGGATCATTTTAAAATAATAACTTTGCATAAAAATTTAAGATTTGTATTAAATTTTGGATATTATAGGATCATAACAAATTAAAGGATGATAAGAAATCAACTTTACATTGAAATCTTTTTGATTTTGTACTTTTATCTTTATCTTTGGTTGCATTTTGTCGGAACTTGAAGAGTTTCAATTGATTTTGAACTCTGCTGACATCTGATAAGCAAAGGCTCACCCATTTTTGTGGTCCGTAGTGCACACGATATCTACCACTTGAGGCAGGACTGGGCCCCCACCAATACTCTGACATTGACAACTTTTACAACAATTGCCAAACAATCATACTACTATATGATCAGTTAAAAAAGGACTATCTTCGTTTGTGTATATAAACAATGAGATGAAGAATTGAATTTCGTCTCTGAGGTAATTTAGAAAAGCCAGTCAAGGCTGTGAAATGTATATGATATTCAAGCGATTGATCATCGGTGAAGAAGAAGGCGAGTAGGAAAAAGAAAGATAAAGAAGAATCGAAGTAGCATAATATTTCAATTTTTTAGAAGATTTTCAGTTTACGGTAAAATTAATTCTCTCCCTTATTTTTCTTTGATTCTAATGAAGTTATTATTCATGTATTTGAATTTTATATATGTTTGTCGATCGAGTGTTTCAGAAATTTGAGGCAACAATGATGAAGAAAGAGGTGGAAACTCAGATGAAAAATGAAGTCCAATTTGTAAAGTGTGAGTGTTGTGGATTGACAGAGGAATGTACAGAGGCGTACATAGCGAGAATTCGGGAAAGGAATGAAGGGCGATGGATATGCGGACTGTGTGCGGAGGCGGTGAAGGATGAAATGGTGAGATCGAGAAGGATTGGAAGAGATGAAGCTTTCAATCGACACATGACATTTTGCAAAAAGTTCAGAGCAAAGAGTCTGCCCCCCAATCCGACGGGGGAATTGATATCAGCAGTGAAGCGGTTGCTGCTGAAGAGCTTGGATTCGCCGCAATCTAATCCGGTGAGTAGAGGAGGTTTGGTACGATCGCAGAGTTGCTTTTCAGCTATTGATAGTTGAATGAGATGATATTGGGGCATAATTAATAATTGATGTAAATAGTATTGGGCTAGAATAAGTTTTTCCATTGTTGTTGTTGGACAATTATTTAGTGAAATTTATTTATTTATTTGGATTGAATCAATTGAAGTTTAGCTTTAGTTTTGCTAGATCTAATGCAGAATTTCTTATCATCCAGATCAGAAAACTTAAAACTTATTTCATTGCACATCAAGCTAAGTATCAAGGCAATTGATATGAAAATGTTACTACTTTTCTGTAATCAATAGTTTCAAGTGGTTAATTTAAGCAATTATTGGTCGGACAATGCCAACATATTCTAGATTGGAATTTAGAGCAATTTGATTTTACAATGTTGTTGATTTGGTTGGAAATCATAATGTGCAAAATCTAGCGGCCATCAAATACTTGTAAAAAGCTGATGAGTGTGATCTGAAGAAAATTATCTAGTTGATGAAATGGAAGCTCACATCTATTGTCTTATGTGATAAGAATGATCCGTCAAGCCTTAAGGTGTGTTTTATAGAGTAATGGTTAGATCAATTATATTGAATGAGGTAGAGTATTAGTCCGTCGAGAAATCACATGTTCAAATTATAGATGAGAGTAGTATAAATAAGGAGATTGAAATGAACTTGTGTGTGGACATATACTAGGAGAGAAGGATTAGGAATGAAACTATTTGGGACAAGATAGGAGTGACCTCTGTTGTAGACAAGATGAGGAAAACAAGACTGAAATGATTCAGATATAGGTACGGAAGATGCATGGTTGGAGAGGTTTGCTATAGTGGGTGTAAAGAGAGGTAGATGTATGCCGAAAAAGTTTTGGGGAGATGTGATTAGATAGGATATGGATCACCTACAAATGACAACAAGGACATGACTCTAGATAAGAAGGTATGAAGGTTGAGGAATAAAGTAGAAATTTATTAGGTAGTCGAACGTTGTCTAGTTCCTTATCAATATTGTTATTATAGCTCTCTTCCTATTGTTTTTCTTTGGTTTTAGTATTATGTGTTATTTCTTTGCTTCAATTATCATGTTATTCATTCTTGCTACTTGTTCTCTTTATAGATTATATATTTTCAGCATAACTTTTTCGCTATTGTATTTGCTTTACATACTTGATTTTTAATATACTTTCTCGGGTTGAGGGTATATCGGAAACACCCTTTCTATTTTCACAAGATACGAATAAAATTGTGTAAACATCACCCTCTCAAACTCCATTTATAAAATTATATTGAGTATGTATTGTTGTTTTTGTAATTTAGTAAATAGGAAAAGACATAAATTATCTCCTGAACTTGTTTCAGAAAGTCAGTTACACGCTTAAATTATCATGACGAGCTATTACTACTTAAAAGAATTTAATACTGCCCTGAGACGTGTAACACCACTCCCACAATATGTGGCGTATTACACTCGTTGTCACATTAGCACTACATCAACACCATGTAAAAAATTATAGAGTAATTATTATATCCTTTTTTTTTCTTTATTAATTAACTTTTCTTTTGTTAACTATATTTTACACTAATTAATTCCTAATTAATTATTAAAATTCTCTAATAGTTATATTTTTAAAATTCTCTATAAAAATATCAATCGATGTATATTGGATTTTTCAAAAATAGTATATTTTTTAAGAATCCAATAAGATTTTTGGGAGTCCTAGCAATATTGTCAGCAACTATCCACCCTATACATATCTAATATCTTAGTCATGTAGTCTATGTGCGATTGGAATTGAAGGTTGTAAAAAGTGAGACAACAGAGTCCTTGCAATACTGAAGGGGATATTCTATATTCTAGCAAGTTGGTTGATACTTTGAGAGTTTAAATCATAAGAAGAGAAACAAGATACAAGTCCCAATCTAGTTATTGCTAATGTGAAGGGCCTATATTGACAATTTATTGGAGAAATATTCCTTGAAAAGTTGTGAATATTATAGATTTTATAATTTTTGTTTTATGCTCACTAAAAAGTAGTATAGAAAGAGTGCATCACAAGTACATGATATTTTTGGATGGGGAAATGCCTACTGATTGTCTTTTCCTACTAAGTTGCTTCAATTTAGGCAATTTTAAAGCAAATCACTAGCCTACGCCTAGGCTAAGGCAAAAAATAAGTCATAATCAACAATACACAAGGGTATATAACTATAACAAGGCATGATACAACAATGAAAATAAGATAGACCCTTCCAAACCACCTCCGATCGTTGCTACGCTATCAAATAAATGATCATGGCATTGATACGGTCTAAACAATACACATATTACATAAAATTGTGGATCCAAAATTAGGTAAAAAAAAAAGGGTCAGCGGGCCCCACGTGTCAACCAGTCCCAACAAGCTCAAGGACCTTGTGCCCAAAAGTTGGGCACAATTCGGTCCAATTCACACCCAAAATAGTCCACACAAAATAAGAGCGTCAAACCACCATTAAAGAGGTAAAGAGAGGCCTTCGGGAGGAGAATTACCTCAAAATTGAGTCCCCAACTCAAGCCCTACAACCCCTATGCAATGCTCCAACAATTCACAATGATTGACACAAAACTTGAGCTCAAACGAAGCTCAATAGCTCAAGAAATCGAACTTAGAAATTGGAATTGTGAGCAGAAATTTGGGACATATCACAATATAACATCAGTTAAAGGACCTCCGCAAATGTGATCCTCAGTGCCACGAATGTGGTAATCAATTGGACCAGGTCAACGGTGATCCTTCTCCGTGAACGCGGGAGTCTTTTTGTGATCACGTGGGTCGGAATCCCATCTCTCCGCGAATGCGGAGCTAAGCCCACAAGCGCGATGGTTCATTTAATGAACCTTCACAAACGCGGCTCAAGGCCCGCAAACGTGAGCATAAGAGTACGGTGCACCAACAAAGGTTGCACCAGCTCAGGACGGGGGATCAAGATTTGTTCAGAACCCATGAACACAAACAAACAGTGCTACCCAATCAAATTCAAACATTTCAAACTCAAAGGAGATGTCGAAACTTCCAACGGAGGTCGTCCCGACAAAAAGTGAGTCACACACCCAAGGCTCCATTTTTTCCAAACCCCACAAGGTAGCTCGAAATGAGTCTAAAAGTCTCGGGACCCAAACCAAGGATCCTTCTAGACTAAACTCAACCTTCATAAGCTAACGAAACTATCAAAATTGCATGATGAGGTCATTTCCCTAAAGTTTTGACAGAAGTCAATCGTTTAAGCTTCAAAAGCTCCAATACATGAAAACTCACACAAAAATCAAATGAACAACGAGGAGACCAAATTGTTAGTCTCAACAAGTCATAAATGACTTCGAGTCTCAACAGGAAAGCTCTAAATGCCGAAAATATCGCAATACATAGAAAACGACCAGAATGGTCATTACAAATTATTCATCACTTTGCATTATAAAATTTAGAAAAATTTATTTCATATTAAGGCCTCATTTTGAAATTTGACTTTAGGCAACCAATAGTATTGAGCCGCCCCTGTTTGCAAATGACATAGTTTTGATTGACGAGATATTAATCGAAATTAATGATAGACTAGAGGTATGTTGATAGGCTCTAGAGTCCAAATGGTTCAAGTTGAGCCTGACTAAGAAAAAATATTGGAGTGCAAGTTCAGTGATGTAAACCATATGTGTGATGTGGAAGTAAGGATTGATATACAAGTCATCCCCAAGAAAGAAAGTTTCAACTATATAGGGTTGGTAATCCAAAAAAAATGGGGAGATAGATGATGATGTTAGATATCATATTTGAGCAGGTTGGATGAAATGGAAGCTCACATAAGGTGTCTTGTGTGATAAGAATGATCAATCAAGCCTTAAGGTGTGTTTTATAGAGCAATGATCAAATCAACTATGATGTACGAGGTAGAGTACTATTGATCAGCCAAGAAATTATATGTCCAAAAGAAGAGAGTAACATAAATAAGGAGATTGAAATGAATGTGAGGACATACTAGGAGATATAGGATTAGAAATGAAACTATTTGGGACAAGGTAGAAATGACCTTCATTGTAAACAAGATGAGGAAGACAAGACCGAGATGATTCATGCATGAATACAGAAGATGATGTACGAGAGGTTTGCTATATGGGTATAAACAGAGGTAGAGCTATATGCCGAAAAAGTTTTGAGGAGATACAATTAGCTAGATAGGACATGGATCATCCTCAACTTAACAAGCACATGACTCTAGATAAGAAGGTATGAAAGTCGAGAACTACAGTGGAAGGTTATTAGGTAGTCGAATGTTGTCTAGTTCCTTATCAATATTATTATTATTACTCTCTTACTATCTTTTTCGTTGATTTCAGTAGCACTTGTTGCTTTTTTTGCTTAAATTGTCATGTTATTTGTTGTTGCTACTTATTCCATTTTCAAATCATTTTTAGCATGATTTATTCACTATTGTATTTGCTTTACATAATTGATTCTTACTTTACTTACTCAGACCAAAGGTCGGAATCAACCTATATTCACAAGATCTGAAAAAAATTGTATAAACACCACTCTCCTAAACTCTACTTATAAGATTATACTTAGTATGTATTGCTGTTATAGTTTAGTAAATCTAAATTTTTGGTAATGATACTTTTAGGGAAAAGGGTATGAAAAATACTCTAACTTTGGCCGAAATTGTTGTTACGATACCAAACTTTATGGAGGACCTTTTACCCTCATGGACTATTTAATAGTGTATTTTAAAGGTATATATGTGCCCACGTGGACACATTACTATTTATAATGATGCAATATTTATGATGTCCATGTGGGCACATATATATACCTTTAAAATACACTATTAAATAGTGCAGGGGGTAAAAGGTCATTTCCAAAGTTCGGTATTGTTATAACAATTTCTGTCAAAGTTCAAATATATTTAAGACCTTTTCCCATACTTTTATATTGTAAAAAATAAATTTTCTACTTCTGTGTTTGCTTCTTTAGTTTCAAGAAGCAAAAGGTTGTAGCTTATTTCTCACAATAGAAAAGTTGCTTAT